CACAAGGCTGCAATCCTATGGAGAGAGCTTCTTTATTTCTTTGGATCGTTAACAGGAACTGCATACCTTGGGCTTGATTTGAGTTCGGATGCTCCTGGGGAGAGGTGATGAGGGTGGGGGTGGGGCCGGGGGCACGGAACAGAGAAAAGAAATAATAAAATGTTATTTGAGATCATCCCTTCTTCCCCTCTCCCAGAGACCAGCCTTGTCTCTCCCACCCTCCTGCCTCTGTCCATGCTCCCAGCACCCAGGCGGAGGCACAGTGCTGAATGTGCTAAATTAGGCCATTAGAGAAATTCATTTCTCTTTATTAGTCTGTGTCAAATCCTTTTTATTAGTGGCTGGAAACGACCTCTCTTTTGCAGTAAAATGTCATGCCGGTTCACTCCTTTTATTTGTTCTGCACTGACGAGGCTCAAACTCTCACTGAATTAGTGCAGTGAGATTTATTTCCTCCAAATTTTGAACGGCTTAAGAGAGATTGGGGTGGAAGGGGGCGGTCAGGAGGGAGGTGGCCTGTGGGGAGCCGACTTGGGAAGGGGTGGGGAGGGAGAAGGTGAGCTCCTGTGGAGGTCAAATGTCCTCTGCTCTTTGGAAATAAAGTCTGATGACCATCTCTCATATCTTGTTCGTCTTCCGGGCCCTGGGGACTAAGTCCCCACCCTCGTGTTTCAAGCTTCTAAAAGGTGTTGGTCCAGGGGCGCACGGACCTGGACAGCAGAAGGGAGGGCTCCTTAAAACCTGTGTTTTTGTGCTAGGTGTGCAGCTCAGTAGTAAATCACTCGTCTGCTATGCATGAGACTCTAAGTTTGATTGCCAGCACCAAAAAGCAAACATCCTAGCTGGACAGACTGACGTGCTAGAAGCCAAGGTCATATATATACATTTGGAAATTCTTCCCCTTATTCCATCCCCAGGGCCGTTTTCATGCCTGGTTGCTTAGATGTCAGCTCCCTTCCATATTAAAGTTGTCCTCTAAGCCTGAAGCAGAAGCTGCTGGGGAGGACCCCTCAATGGGGCCCAACAGGGACTGTGACTTCTCCACTTATCTGAGGATCAGGAAGAATAGCTTAGGAAATACAGTACAAAGCTTAGGCAGACACATGATGGACAAATACAGAAGGGATGGTGGGCTCACCTGTAACTGCCCTGGGGACAGCCTTAGGGAAGCCCAAAGCCATGACTGCAGCCCTAACACCAATCAGGGCCACTGGTTGCTAAGACTGGTCCTGGAGGTAATGTTGTCTAACCATTCCCATGCAAATAGGGGACTAGTTCACTGGGTGATCTAGGAGAGCACATGGGATCCAAGGGTAACCCCATTAGCCTGGCATGGCTCCTGAGGACGGGCTCCTGTGTTAGTGGGATGAGACAGTCACAGGAGCCTGGTGGAATAAGAGAAGGGAGGTTTGGGGTGCTGACAGTACTGCTCAGCTCCCCAGTTCTGGTCGAGAGCAGGAGGCCAAGACAATCCCATGGACTTTAACCAACATAAAAAGAAAAATACCCCAAAATGTGGCCCAGCAAGATGGCTCAATGAGTTAAGGCATTTACTGACAAGCCTGGCGACCTGAGTTCAAGCCCCAGGGTTCCACAAAGTAGACGGAGAGAGTCAGCTCCTGCGAGTTGTCCTCTGACCTCCAAACGAAAGAACGAGCAAGCAAATGAACGAACGAACAAACAAATAAATGAAATGAAAGAAGGAAAGAAAATACTATCAAACGAAACAAAAAGTCCCACATGTGTCTCCCACAACCATTCTAGGGAGACTGACATGTGCAAGTGTCACACAGCGGCTCTGCAAAAGAGGGGGATGTGGTTCCTCAATGTTGGACACCACCACCTTCTGCCCCATCCCCACCTCTGCAAGGCTGGCTCTGTGGCCCTGTGGCTCTGGCCTGGGCCTACTAAGCATCTCTTAGCCTGACGCCTGAGCCGTGTTAGCTCTGTGGTTTTCTCTCCTCTCTGCCCCATCCACTATCACACCTGACCGCATCACCCACCTCAGAGTTCCTTGCCTTCCTTCTCCCTGCTGAAAACACCTCTCCCTCAGCTCTTCGCATGGTTGCCCCTCATCATTCCAGGCTTAACTTAAATGTCACTTCCTCAGAGAGGCCCTCCCTGACCATTCTAAAGAAAGCTGCTTGCTCCACTCCTCAGAGGCAAAGAGTAGGAGCAGAGGAAACCTATGCTCGTAGCTGGGGCACTGAATCCCGGCAGGCCCCACCCTCCCACCCCACATGCCACTTATGCTGTGTACGCAGAAAACACAACTCTGCATGTGCATTACGTACAGGTAAGGCATATACTACACTTGTGACATACAAAGCCAGGCCCCCAGCTGCATGCACACAACCCTTTGTGCATATGTACTACATGAACGCAAAATCACAAGCGCACACACAGTGAAACACGCATGCTGACATAGGACAAACACTTGCTCTACAGAGAGCCTGCACTCAACTCCCAGTCCACACACGTGCATACACACACACACACACACACACACACACGCACACGCGCACACGCACACTCTCTCCATTTGGCAGCTGCCCACCCTCCCTCCAGCCAGTGAGGAAGGCATGTGCAGTGACCGCATGGCTGCTGTGGGTTGGGGCATGGGCTGCACCCCCACCACCTGGCACGATGCTTCGGATTATTAGTTCCTGGTAATTTAGTGCCCTTGTACAGAGTCGATTTGTGCCTTTCATTCCTAATTGATCTAGTGGCTGTTTAAATGGCAGCAGGCATCTGTTGAGAGTAGGAAGGTTCATAAGGCGCAATAATTCATAACACCGTCTGGAATTTGCCTTTCATGGCCCTCAGCTAAACCACTGCAGGGCTCTGCTTAAATTACAGCCACTGAGGCTTTCTTTGGTATTCCACTCAGGGCCAAGAGAATCTTGCATTAAACTGGGATCAGGTTAGATTAGACTATAATATGCTGCAGTATTGGAGGCTGCAAATGAAGACTTATACTGGAGTTTAACCCCTTCACCTCGTGTTCCCTTTGCCTTCAGCCGGGGAGCTAAATTCACCCCATTGTTTTTTCCCTGTCATCTCCTTGCTGGGTGCGTTAGAGCTCCTGGCAATTCTGGGATGCACGAGAGTGAACCTTAAATATTGGTCCTTTTTCTTGCATACTCCAAGCCCAGTATACAGCCTGGGGGCCCAGTAGTTTATACACCAGCTTCTCTAAACATGGATCAGCTGGTCATCTGAAGTGGGAATAGATCTCCCTTTATCCTCCCACCCCTCCTACACTTAAGTGGAGAGAGCGAGGCTGGGCAAGTATGATTTTATGAGGCTAAGCACTCCTGTCTGGGGTTCTGGGGTGGGACAGACATCAGGGCTTCCCTCAGCCCACTCAGTGATATTGAACATACCGTGCTGGCTAGAGGCTCGGTTCTGCTCCCAGTGTCTAGTCTCCTCAGGACTTACACTATGTTCCCCAATATGGTTGTCATTAGCCACATGTGACTATTTAAATTTGAATTAATTAAAATTCAATAAAATTAAAGATTCATCATCTTAGTCGCACTGGCCGTATTTCAAGTGCTCATTGGCCTCGAGTGGCTAGTGGTTCCTGTGTTAGATGGTGCAAACTGAAGAATGTTTGCTTCACTCCAGAAAGTTCTGTAGGAAAGTGCTAGCCGGGCTACCCCTGTGGCAGAGGACCAGTGGGCAGATCCAGCACAGGTTCCTCTTCTTCCTCTCCCACGAAACAGTGCTGCATAGAAAATAAAGAAGCAGATGTTGTGGTCTCAGGAGCCTGATGAGAAAGATCCAAGATGTGCAGATGCTTTCTTAGAACAGGGGAAGGGATTGGGACCCTCTCCATGCCAGAGTCAACAGCCTAGGCACACGCGGGAGTATGTGGTGCAGAAATAAGTGCGATGTGTGGTTCTGTCTGCAAATAAGCATGCAAACATACAACATCTGTGTTCCACAAATGTCTGTGAGGATTCATATACTTGTGCCACACTCTGGATGTTCAGGAGTGAATGGATAGGTTTGATCCCTGGTTACTGTCTAGGTAAGTAGGCAAATGAAACAAAAACTCAGAGGTTTGGGAGAGAGAAATGGAGACAGTGGGTAGTCAAGGAAGCTTCTAGGAGGTGGTGATCTCTACACTAAGACACACAGACCCATCTTGATTAAATATTTATGCTCATATAAACTTAGCTTAGAAACACACACGCACACACAATTTATTCATTGATTCCGTCTTGAGCGATTTATTAAGTGCCTTCTATGAGTATACATGGCAAGATTCTTGGATACAATAATCATTTACACAGAGACTGTCCTGTAGAAAAGCATAGAATGATACAAATAGCCATTTAATTACAGCCATGCTAAGGATTTGGTGATGGAAGTACAGGCAGATTTTACAAACGCAACTGGGATATTTGACGAAACTCCGTCTGCCAACAGACATGGGCATATGTGGATGAGTTTGGGGGCTCATATATTTCACCCAGTGTACACTTGCAAACACACAACCGTTTATATACATCTGTTACCCTCAGCTGGCTTCAGACTCTGTGTGTGTGTGTGTGTGTGTGTGTGTGTGTGTGTGTGTGTGTGTTTCTATGATGGGCATGTGCAAGATGAAGTACTTAACCTAAATGGTGCTATGAATCTTTGCTTGCATGCCACTTAGTGCTAACATCCACACCCAAGAACTCTCTAGATAGTTCCCACATCTCCTTCCTGGAATCGCGCTGAGTCTGAAATGGACACCAACATCTTTGAAGAGTTATAACCGCTTCATGCAGTTTATCTGACCAAAGGGGAAAGGTAGGAGCCCTCGGAGGCCCCAGAAGTGGGTTCTCCACGCCAGAAAACAAAATGTTGCCGCCTTGGCAGACCTTGGGAACCGGGGACATTCTCGAGGAGTTGGACCCTGGGCAAAGGAGTGAAGGAACTGCTGGAAAGGGGGCCCCAGCAGCAGCCTGGTCTCTGTGCGCATGTGTGAGCTCTTAATGTCCCCACAGGCACCCTCTTTTCCCGCTTCTGACGCTGCTGTTTGAGAAATGTGAACAGGCCACCCAGGGCTCTGAGTGCATCACCTCCGCCAGCTTTGACGTGGACATCGAGAACTTTGTCCACCAGCAGGAGCAGGAACATAAACCCTTCTTCAGCGATGACCCGGAACTGGACAATCTGGTAAAGACCCTCTACCTTACATTCTGGCTGAAATCCTCTGGTGCTCTGATCCCATCCCAAATCTCCTAAACGTGCTCCTTTCATTCACTAATCCAACAGAAAGTTGTGAGTGCCCATTGTGGAACCCACACTGTGCACACTGTTTCATGGTTGAGAATCAGTTCAGAGCATTTTTAACGAAGATTCTAGCAGCAAGCTCTGCTGCCTAAGCTTTCTCTGCCTCTACCTATGTGGTGCCAGCATCTGACCCCTGCTGCCTTACGGATCAAACAAATGGAAAGCGGGGGACTGGCAGCTAGAACGCCAGAGGTAGTTTATACTGAGTCTGCATGGAGGACTGGCAGCCGTGGCAAAGGAGGCAGATGTATGAAGGAAGGTAAGCGGCGTGGTTCGAGCTTGTCCACACAGGGAAAGACCTGGTCTTACTGGACACAGTAGATCATGCTCCCAAATAGTTTGCCACTCAGATTATCATGACATCCTGTAAAATACAAGTTCCTGGGCTGCACTAGGGAACTGTGATTCTGCTGATACAAAGGGATCCTGTGACTCTGCATTTTATATTTCCAAGGCAACTGCCATCATTAGTGTCCGTGGCTCCCGGGTTGGTTGGAATCTGAAGTTCTCATCTAGCCTGGGAGTTTTATGGAAGAAGTGGGCTGGAGAGCCAGTGTGCTGTCCGTCATGGGGTGTGCTGAGAGCCAGTGTGCTCATCCATCATGGGGTGTGCTGTCCCTCATAGAGCATGCTGTCCATCATGGGGTGTGCTGAGAGCCAGTGCTGTCCATCATGGGGTGTGCTGAGAGCCAGTGTGCTCATCCATCATGGGGTGTGCTGTCCCTCATAGAGCATGCTGTCCATCATGGGGTGTGCTGAGAGCCAGTGCTGTCCATCATGTCGAGTGGTTCCTGGAAGTAACAACCTCAGGACCTGATGTTTTGTTTTTTGTTTTGCTTGTTTGGCTAGTTGGTTTGGGTTTTTCATGACAGGGTTTCTCTGTGTCACAGCCCTGTTCTGGAACTCCCTTTGCAGACCAGGCTGGCCTTAAACTCACAGAGCTCCAGCTGTCTCGCCTCCCAAGTGCTGGAATTACAGGTGTGAGCCACCACGGCCTCATAGGACCTGAGTTTTTGGTGTTTGTGAACTGTCCAGATTATCACAGTGAATTTGGAAACTCTGCAAACCCGTCCTCCAACACATGCAATGCACGCACGCAGGCAGGCACGCACGTACTGATTGGCGGTAGTGCTAACCTCTTCTACCCAGAGTTCAGCTGTTATCCACTCCCCCAAAAAGAACAGAATCCGGGAAGCTAAAGTGGCTACAAAAAGAAAGTAAAAGTGCATGCTTATCTCCCAGGCACACGTATGCACGAGTACACTTGTGGACACATACACCCACATTTAGTACATATACAGACGGGGTGAATGACTTCGGTATTATTTGGGAGCATGAATTATTCACACCACTGCTTTTTTCCGTGTTTGGAGCCTGAGATAGCTGCCACCAGAAGAACCCTGCCTGGCTTGGGATTTTGGGGTGCTGTGATGATTTAAGAATGGGGGCCTACCTCGGACATGGGAGAAGTACTTACTGATCACCAAGAATATTAGTAGAGGCATTGAGAACCCCAAATCTACCTCTGCTCATCCCTGGCCCTCCCTCTCCCCCTAACGGGCAGTAAACCCTGGCTACAGCCTCTTAGAGTCTAGGAAAGCTTCCGCTGTGCTGGTCCTCCAGCTGGACTGTGCGGGCAAGGCTGGCTCAGCCCCGCCCTGCTCCTCAGCTAGTGGGAATAAGAAGATTCTGCAGTTTGGAAAGGAATTCCTCAGAATCGGGCTTCAGGCTGCTATGGAGTTAAGAGACAACTCTTTCTCAAAGTCGGGGTAGACTTGGGCCCACTGCACACATGTGCACACACACATGTAATGAGCCTAGCATCATCATCGTCTGTATGATCTTGGTGACTGAATTCCTTTGAAGCTCAGTTTCCTCTCCTCTACAGCTAACTGCCCCTAGCTCACGTGACTGTAATAAATTAATTGATGGCTCATAGACTTGGCCTTTAAAAATACTTTGCATCTGAAAATTAATCTCACTGTGGTAGTGTTTCAGATCCTCAGCCTTTCTGTATCCTGGCTGTGGAAGACACGGTCTGGTCTGGATCCTGAAACCTTCGGTGTAGGGTGAAATCCAGCAGTGCCCTTTGCCGCTGGTTCCTAGCCCCGTGTCAAAAGGAGGAGACGCAGAGGCCAAGCACAGGAGCCATCATTAGGACAAGAATCGTGTCTCCAGCACAGCCGAGATGCACATAATTAGAAATTAGAAAAAGGTCAGATTCCGTTATTACCAGCTCAATCAGCTGCCGAGTGCCACAGCCAGTTAATCTGGCATCTGTATTTTTTACAACCCCGCACACGTAGCCCAACGGACTGTAACTCTTTCTCCGGACAGATATACTGCGCAGCTGAGCAGGGACATAAAATGAGGGACCCCACGCAAATGAGCTGAGATAATTGAGAGATTTATTTTTTATATTTGTGTGTGTGAGGGCAGCTTTCCTTTGCCCTTGAATATTGACTTTCATAGATAGGATTGTCAGGAGGGCACGCGGATCCCCCAAATCTTTGCCTTACAGAAGGTTCTCTCCCAACACCCTCCTCCATCCTCTCCCTGACCCTTCCCTGCTTTCTCCACCTCTTGTACAGACCCTAACTAACTGTTCTTCCTTCCCTTCCCGGAGCTGTTCGCCTGTCTCACCCTCCCCTGCTCCTCACAGTCTCCCAGAGCCGCTTTTCCAGACAAATCTCCATGGAAACAGCTGAGTCAGCTCTCCTAGAGCTGCCCCAAATATCTGAGAGGATCCCAGTCACAGAGGGAGGGAATCCTGTAAGGCCGCCGCTCCACAGCGCCTCTACTGGGAGAAAAACGTAATTACAAAAAACTGGGGTTTAGAAAGGCAACCTCAGAAAGGAGTTCACTCCCACGTTTTTTTCTACAAAGCGATCCTCACGTCCACGAAGGAGAGCCCTGGCCTTAGAGTCCTGAGTCTGTACCCCTCCCACTGGCACTCCGCCCCTCCCTGGTGACAGCAAAGCCCTTGCTCGCAAATAAGAGAATGACACCAATAATATCTCTCCCTGGAGCCCCCACTAGGACCTTCCCTACGTCCATTTCGGTGCCATGGGGGCGGCTTTCCACTCCCAGGTGGTTAATCCGGAATCCCCGTGAGTCCTTTGGGATCTACTACAATTCCTACACCGGGTTCCTTTCTTACCTGGCCTCCAGATCCGACCCACTCCTTGGGCCCAGCAGCCTCTGACTGGCACTTGGTAAAGTTTGTAAAATTTGCAAGTTCCCCAAACCCCTTTGAAAGGTAAAAGCTTTTTGTTTTATAAAACCTGATTTACGGGCCCCCGGTGCAAGGCCAAGGTTTTATATATTATGCAAGATTTCAAACTAAGGCTGTAAAACGTACGGTTTCAGTTTCATGCATGGAATTTTTTTATGTGTAAATTTTTTAACATTTATGGGGCACGTTTTAATGAGGCTCTGGTGTGGCTCCAGGGACAGATTATGGCTGCCTGACCGCAAAGCCAGTTCCAAAATGGGGCCTCCCAGACCCCTGGGCCCACTCTGAAGAGGCAGGCCTGGAGGCCGGAATCTAGGAGTGAGGAGACTCGTGAAGGGGCCAGCCCAGAGCTGTGTGCCCACAGAGACCTCATCCAAACCTGATCTGAAATTCACTAACCTCAGCCTTCAGTCCAGGCTCTCTGCCTAGAAGGGACCTGCAAACCTCACAGCCACCAGGGAAAGGAAAGGAAATAGAATATCAACCATGATAATAATTAACATCTATATAGAGCACTTACAGGTACCAGGTGCTATCCTAAACTATTTGCATCTATTATCTTACATAATCTCCATTCCAAACCCGCAAAGCTTAATATTAATATTAACAATATTATGCCCATTTGCTGGAGGCAGTTGGTTCAATCCTCAGAACACTCTTTTCTCTCTTTCTCCCCCCTCTCGTGTGTGTGTGTGTGTGTGTGTGTGTGTGAGAGAGAGAGAGAGAGAGAGAGAGAGAGAGAGAGAGAGAGACTCTTTCTCACTGGTACAGCATGGAGCTCACTTATTCTCCCTCACTGGATATCCAAGAAGTCCCAGGGAGACTCCTTTCTCCAGCTTCCCGGCACTGGGAACACGTGTGCACAGGCTACCATTTCTATGTGAGTGCTGGGACTAGAACTCAAGTACTCACACTTGTACAGCGAGCACTTCACCAGCGGAGCCATTTCCCCAGTCTCGTCGTCCTCTTTTTAAGAAGTGAAATAACACACAGGATCATGCAACTCTGGGCAAAATAGAAAAGAGAACTGAGCCATGAAACGCAGCTCCACTCTCAGGTATTATACACACACACACACACACACACACACACACACACACACACATGCGCGCACACACACACACACACACGCATGCACACACACATGCACACACACACACACACACAGGGAGAGAGAGGGAGGGAGTGCTAATGTCTTCTGACATTTCTAGAAGAGCCAGGTCTTCCTTTAGTTGTTTTTTGTTTGTGTTTGTTTGTTTTGTTATTTTCCTGGTCACATCTCATTCCGTTCGCAGGAAAACTTAGTCACTCACTCTCTGTTTTGTGGTGTAGGAGGTTAAATGCAAGACCTTGCTTTTGCTCTGCAAGCACTCTGCCACCAAGTTCCACCCCGAGATCAGCGAATCGCTATTAACTTATTTTATAGCAGAGGAAACTACAGTACAGAGATTAAGAATTGTTCAAGGCCTCCAGGGGGAAGACAGAAACCTCTGAGTCCCCAAAACCACCTCCTTGGTGTCTCCACACGAGCCTGGCAGAGAGCAGCTATTATCCCCATTCAGTGGAGAGAGAAACCCACGAATGAGTGTCCTGTAGCCACGAAGTTACATAGCTGAGCTTGAAGAAAGTTCCTCTAACTTGAGAAGCC